CCCAAACCCCTAAACCCCTACCTAAACCCCCAAACCCCAACCCCCTTAAACCCCCTGAATCCCTAAACCCCCCAGGGCGTCCGAAGAGGCCGATCAGCTCCTCAGGCTCATAGGCCGTCCATCCGGCCAGGGCTCCTAAGGCAATCCTCAGATCGGGGGGGCTCCTTCTTCGAGGGGCGCTTCTAGCGCTTGATGTTTCAGGGATTTTAGGGTTTTGGGGGCTTTTAGGGTTTTTGGTGCTTAAGGTTTAGGGCTTTTAGGGCTCATAGGGCTTCTAGCGCTTAAGGATTCAGGCCTTTTAGGGCTTTGGGGGGCTTTTGGGGCTTTTAGTGCTTAGGGTTTAAGAGCGGGCTTCCGAGGCTGCGGATTTTGGGGTCCAGGGGTTTTAGGAGCTTTTAGGGGTTTTTAGGGCTTAGGAGCGTTGAGGGTTCATGCCGGGGTGTGGGGATGTGGGGTTCATGCCGGGGTGTCGGTTGAGGGTGTTCATGGGTACCTCTCAAAATTGGGGTCCCTTTTAGTGTCCTTTTTATACGAGTGCCGTACTATATTGGGGACCTAAAAAGGGACCCCAATTTTGAGAGCCACCCATATGTGTCATGCCATGGGCCTGAATCGAGGCAGGGGGCCTTTGCAGCAGTAAGGTAGACGCAGCTGCGGACTACAAGGGGCCTATTGCGCTTTATCCTTCTGACCCTTATTATTACCCTATGTTTCCGATCGTGGACCTGAAGATCACGGGTGAAAGGCTTAACTTAGCAGTGCAAGGCGTTACGGAGATGAAAGCCTGGAACCGCCTTCACGTACCCACCTTCTCTTACTCCCATTTCCTAGGGAAACTACTCCTACAGGCAAACCGCTGGGATTACATAAAGGGGCCCCTTGTACCCCGGAAAGGTCAAAGGTTACTTTTCAGAAGCTCTACAAATTAGCGGAGCCCCTGAACGCACAGCATCCGAAATCTTCTAAGCCGCAAACCCTAAACTCTAAACCCTACGCCCACTCCAAAAGGGGTCTGCATGAAACCCCAGACCGCTCAGCGTCTCTGCTGCACAGCAGGATGCCAGGCACAAGAAGCAAGTCAGTCGCACATGGCGTGGCACATGCATCCTAGTTTCCGCTTCTCTTCTAGAGGGGTTCGGGATTAGAGTTCTTATGTTTTGGTTTTAAGTAAGGGCTTCGGAATTAGAGTTGTTATGTTTTGGTTGTAAAGGGTTTAGGGCTTTTGCTGGGTTAAGGGCCTTCTCTATCTGTAAAGATTTGGGTCAGCCCCCCCAAAAAGTTAGGTTTAGGGGCAGCAGCACTTGACCTAGTCTTCAGGTGCATGAGGCTCTCCAAAGCTGTTGCAGAATTTCGTTACACTACCCTAACCCCCGAGGTACCTACTATATAGGGCCCTAGGGGCTCTGGTACCCTATATAGTAGGTACCTGGGGGGTTAGGGCTATTTAAAGGCTTAGGGCTCAGCCATTGTGGGCTTGTGGCAGAACATTTCGGGCCGGGGAAGTTCGGGTCACCACCCACTCTGGCCCTCCCCCGCGCTCATTTGAGCCACAGCTCGTGAAGACGGTTGTGGTTGAGAGTTTCGGGCTCGGCATGTCCAAATAATTCCGTCGATGCGTGCCGCTTCAAGGATCGTGTGACTTAGGAAATGGGTTTAGGAGGGCTTTTGCTGGGGCTACGGTGGATGATATAAATCCGGCATTACCCATAATGAGGAAGATACCATGGTTCTCGTAGTTTAGGGTCCTGAAGGTAATGCTAAGGATTTCTATCATCAGCCGCAGTAGTCGGTAGAACTGCAGTTGCCGCACTTGTCACCCAAAGTACTGAGCCTCGGGATCCTTCTTGAAAGGAGCGCTTGGGGTTGGCTCCTAAAGAAAACGAAAGGAGGTTTAGTTGTTAGGGGTGTCGGATCATCGTGGAACCCTTGAGCCAGAAGCCTGAAACCGAAAACCAAAGACTGAAGATCTAGAACCTGGACGCCGCGACTCCAACTTCGTCATGGAACTTTATGTTGTTCACCTTCTACCTAGGACGTTTTCAGGCGGGTAGTTACCGTTATAGGAGCCTTATAGAGAGGCTATATACCTTATGGAAGCCTTATNNACCCTAAACTCAACACCTGTAGTTTCATTAAAATTCTACCTGAATCTTGAAACCCGGTACCGTGAATCCTAAGCCTGAATCCTTGGGATCCCGGTACCAAATCGACGAACATCAACCTCTGAAACCTGGAAGTCTGTGTGCCCAAAGCCCAGATGTGGTGTAAACCCTAAGCCTTAAAGCCCTGAGGACCTAAACCCTGGCTGGGTAAGGTGGAAGTTCGGATTTAAGGTTTCAGCTACGGGGAGTTATGGGGCTCCGAGGATTTGGGGGTTGACCCCCCCCCCCCCCCCCCCTCCCCCGTTGCTTGTCATAGGCAGGATGCCCGCCTCTTCCTTTACAACGTGAAGTATTGATATACCAAAGTATCCTTACTACCAGTACAATAAAATATCAGTAT